ATAACAATTCAGTTTTTATAAACCACAAGTGAAACAAGAATTAGATAGCGTCTTACTTCTGTGCATAACAATAGTTCTCTAATACTAATATCCTCATATTTTTTAATTTCAGATGTAATACTCCCACTGACTTAGCTACAACCTTGTTATCGGGTCAAGTACAAATATATCCATATCATCGAGGCTTCTGGATTCCTGAAATCCTTACAACGAATTGCAAACATGTTTAGTGGCTCCAGAATTTATCCATCAGGAATTAATAGATACAACCACATAACATGGCTCAATAATTAAATATATATTTTCCTATGCCACGTCATTGCTTAGACAATTCGTCCTTGAGTGTCATAGTTAGCGGCAAAAGAAACAATTTCCTTCGCCCTCAACATTCACTATCTTATTCCTTTTAACATTTTAGATACCCATGTTTTGTGCTAGCCTAGTCCTATTATCATCCTTCTTCTTTGCCTTGCTCGTCCACTTGGGCCTAGAAGAAGATGGTATAGACTAGGTTAGCTTGATAGGAACACCCATACTCTTGATTATCCCTTCATCTGTTACTAATTCTATAAGAATATCAGCGAGTGTGAACTCAAACTGATTCCTTATTTAGTTCACTCTAACAGAGTCGAACGAGTTTGGAAACAAGGCAATAATCATGTCAATTTGAAACTTATCATTCAAGTCAGCCCTATTGACCTCCAGTTCAATTTTTAAATAATAAACAATCATTTTTCAAAATCTGATATCAAACTAGAGTTCCTCAGGCTGTCTAGATAGTATTTAAATTTGACATAGTACTTAGGCATATGCTCTATCTAATCTCACCAAAATACCTCATTGACATTTAACATAATGCTTGAAGAAAATAAAATAATGCAAATGTTAGCTTTGGAGTATATTCGAAATAAACTCTAGAATATTGCACCAAGTCACATCATTTGCCTTATCTAATTTATTAAAAGCATTAATGTCAAATTCGGTATCTCAAAGTAAAATGATTAGGTATAAGAGTATTAAATACATTTTGTACCCTTACATTGTGAATAAAATATCTAAATTCATTTTCCAGTCAATATAAATGAGGTCCAGTCACATTGAATATGTAAGCAAGCAGATAAACTGGATTTGACATAATTAATCTAAATATAAATGCATTCACACAATATGCAAGGTGAATTATTAATACTATTATGCATGTTTAAAATTAAAATGAATTTGTTAACCACATAATATAATAAATCTCAATAGAATAAGAGATCACTATCATTATTGGTAAACAATCCCTTTTAATTAATGCGGGTCCCTTAACTCCATAACATAATAAATCACACAATCAATACGTCAATAACTTATTCTGTTGGAGGAGTTCATTATTACCATTATTGAGATTCATTTGCTATTAGGTGAGCACTTCCATTAAAAAAGTATGTGGGTCCCTTAACCACTGCATGAAAAATCGGATAACCAATACACCAATAACTTATTCGGTTGGCGAAATTCACTATTGCAATTGGCGGGCAAATCCCATCATTTCCATATCTCTTAAGACAATGCCTTGTCTATCTATATGAAATGATTCCCGATTATATTTAACCTTTCTAAAATCACCTAGTGTAGACCACTCCGTTGGGGAGCTAACACTATTAATTTTAGATTGAGTGTATAACGTTATTAAAGCTCTAATGAAAAATAAAATACTAAATATCTTGTCATTATAATCTAGACTCTTTAAATCATGCGTAGGGCCTTATTTTTAAAGATCTAATTACAATGAACATTTAATATTATTATTTTCATGAGATAACCATTCTTGTAATATTAAGACTCTTCAAATCATGCGTGGGTCCTTATTTTTAAAGATCTAATTACAATGGTTTTAATAACGAAGGTCATGGGGCAATGTATAAAAATCCCCGCTCCCACTCAATTTTTTAATCATTTATAATTATGGTTTTAAATTTATTCATTTACATGAAATAATGCATGCAAAATGCCTTGATTTTAATCCATTTAAATTTAGAAAATATTTGGACTATAAATGATTCACTAATATTTAATTTGAGGCACACTTTAAAAATAATTTACAAAAAAAAAAAATTTTATTTCCCAATAAGTGCCCTCAAATTAATTAGTAATCAAATCCAATTAATTTTCATAATTTAATTAATATAAATCAAGTCATTTAAATAAATATCATGGATCCAATGCATGAATAATAATTAATAAACAATTATCTATTCCATGCATCACATAAATAAATAAACAACAGACAGAAGCAATTTAAATGGTCAATGGATTTAGCTTTTAACATTTAATTGCTCTAATCACTGCACGAGGGTCTTCCAAATGCTTGTATATACCTGCAGGAGGCTGTAACTCGATCCCATGTGCCACCAGACACAACTTGACGCCTCAAAACCCATCTGAACCACCTGCAAGCACTCCAGGAGGTTTCCAGCGCGTGTCACGCGCTCCCACGCGCCTGCACGCGCTGGGAGGAGGTCAGGGCCCGTGTCACGCGCTCACACGCGCGTGGGGAAGTTGCCAGCGCGTTCCACGCTCTGGCACGCGCCATGTGGCGCTGACTTGCCTCTGGCGCGTGAGGACCACGCGCCATTGGTGGTGCATTCCAACCGCGAAGCACCTGATTATCTCTTAGCCTCTGATTGCAATCCAATGGTTGTTGATCCAAGTGCATATGTACTGTGCCTCACCTGATCAGCCTCCTACCTCCGATGCTGCCCTTGCCGCCGGTGACGCTCCAGTGGCCGGGAAAATGCCGAAAAAAATCCAGAAAATTAATTAAAAAATTTCAGAAATTAAATTAGGCCCTTTAAAAATTCAGAAAAATCCCAGAAAAATTCTAAAAAATTCCAGAAAATTCCTGAAGCCTAATTTAACCCTCTTGAACCTTCATAGCACCCTTTGATGAATATTACATGGTTTAAAAAAATATTTACACTTTGAAATACAATGGAAAAAATTAAATTATATCATTGAACTTTCAAACGGCTAAATCAAAGCCTTAATTACATTCATCCAAAGATAAAATTACATTCAATAAACCTATAAGCTTCATCCATGGCCCAAACGCACATCATCATTCATTCACAATTATGCATACATCATTATATATCAATATATTAATTCATACATCAATAAATAAATATATGCACATCAAAATTGGATCCATGAATGATGAATTTTTATAAAAACATGATCTCTAGTAATGAATCAAACCATGCTCCGATACCATTGTTGGGAAACGTGCTAGTTTTAAAAAACTTTTCGAGAGATTTTGAATCATAGATCTTGATTCATCACATAGAGACAAGTTTTATGCAAAAATAAAATATGATGTATCATTCAATTAAAGATTGAATACTTACATTAAAGGTCTGAGTAAACCTTTAAATCTTTCCTCTAAAGTGAATGTTCTCACTTATTGTAGATCCCTTAGTAAGATGCCTTCTCCTTGGATCTTCATCTTCTTGGTAATTGTTTTGCCTTTAGGAATCACTCATAAGTCTCCATGGATGACCTTGAAAAACTAGGCTTGTGGGAGCCTCCATTAGATGAGAACATAAACCTTAATTTTCTAGAGAGAGAAAATAGATTCCTTTTTCATTCTTCCAAAAATCACCCCAATAATATACATAGACCATGTATATTTATAGGCAACATAAAGATAAAGAAAAGGAAACAACAAATCCTTCTCAATCTCTAATTCACATGTCTCAAATCTAATATGATTCCAATATCAAGTTGGGCTATGAGTGAGAATCCATTGGGCCTATTATTTTATTGGCTACAATGAATTAATAATTGGCCCGGTCCATGGACCCAATTCAATTAATTCATAAATTAATTTCTACTCCACTAAAAGAAATTAATTGAATTCCAATTAAATAATAAATAACCCCTAAGTCAATATTGCACTTTGACCCCTCTATGCATAATTAGTTATCGGATAAATAAAGCCATCAATCCGACTACTTAATTAATATATTTATTTTGATATCTTTGATTATTTCTGATTCGATCACAATAAAACATTTGTTTGACAAAAATAATAATTTAAATAAATAAATATATAATGAATCATTTTGTCTAAAAACACACGAAGGCCTTCGAATTTACTTTGTGATCAACCATAATCAATACAAAATAAATACAAATAGTAATGATGCAAATATTAAAAATATAATTCTCTAACTATTAATTACATAACCACCCAAAGTGTCGGTCTAAGGATCCCGAAGAATCCGCCGAACAAATCAAAGTAATTATTAATTAATAAAAGAGTCTATACTTTTCTCATACTTAAGAGTCAAATGCCATGACGGTGATAGGGAGCAATTGCATACGACGGCTTTCACAATATATGTCAACCTAACGCAGATCCAGTTCAAATCTTAATTAATTATGATTCCATCCATAATTACCGACTATGAACAATTTATGATTACTATTTATATTCATGTATTGATCGCCATCACATACATATATAAATATCTCTTGTAATCAAGAGGACACTATCAATTCTATAATGAATCGAAACATAATACATTGAATTTACCAATTGTACAAAACATAAATATTTCATAAATGTCAGGAACATATGTCACTTTAATCCAAATAGGAATTTGCTATGCCAGGGCATATAAATCCCAACACAATCTTCATCACTGGTGTTAATCCACATACTGAAGAAGCCATTATCAATCCGCTGGGTATTCACAAAGGTTGTCTTCCCATTAGACATTTGGGGGTTCCACTTATCACAACATGTCTGAAGGCTACTGACTGTAGAGTACTCATAGAGAAGATAACACGCAGAATATCCCACTGGACTGCTAAATCTCTTTCTTATGCAGGAAGATTACAGCTTGTTCGATCTGTTCTAGTTTCTACTCAATTATATTGGTCCAGTATTTTCATTCTCCCAAAGAGTGTCATCAATGAGCTTAATAGAATTTTCAGATCTTTCCTCTGGTATGGGGCCAAAAATGAAATCTAATGGAGGGAAAATTGCATGGGGAGCAGTCTGTAAGCCTAAGGTTGAGACTTGGAATTGTCTAATCAAGTAGCAATCTTGAAGTCCATCTGGGAGCTTCAAACTGATACCTCAAACAGAATATGGATTAATTGGTGTAGAATTCACCTCATTAAAGGCAGGAACTTCTGGACTTGAAGATTCCTCACTCATGCTCCTGGAGTTGGAGGAAAATTTTACAGCTGAGACACCATGCAAGGCATTTTATCAAGCACCTTATTGGCAATGGGATTGATACTTCCTTTTGGTTTGACAATTGGTCTGCTAGAGGGCCTCTGTGTTTAAGATTCTCATCAACCATTCTATCACTCTTAGGAATTGATGAGAATACAAGTATGGCAAACTTCATTGTCAACAATGGCTGGAATTTCCCACCTGCTCTCCTCTCTGTTATTCCAAAGCTAAACTCAATCCAACAACCAGTGCCTCACAGAAAGGATAAGTTGATTTGGACTGTTTCTCCCTTTGATTCTTTTAGCTTGAAACACACAATTTCCCACCTCATGGATCATGGTCCTTTAGTTCCATGGTACAACCTGGTGTGGCACACAGCTTCTATCCCAAGAATGAAATTTAACATGTGGCTAGCAGTTCAAAGCAGACTTCCCACACTTGACTCTCAAGCTATGGTTCACCATGGTAATACCTGTGTCCTTTGTGGAATTGAAATTGAATCACATTCCCATCTCTTTTTTAGATGTGACTTCTCAGCCCCTCTTTGGGAGTTTATCCAAGCTAGATGCAGATTCTACAATTATTTTCTCATATGGGAAGACATGATTCTGTGGATTAGTAGCCGATGGAAGTCAAATTCTCCAATGAACATCCTCAGGAAAATCTCCCTGTCAGCCTTAGTATATCACACATGGGAGGAAAGGAACAACCGTATCTTCAGAGGGAATCCATCAACTCAGAACAGGGTTCTAACAAAGGTCTGCAACTCAATCACATCCTTGCTTCGCCTGGGTTGTCTAAAGGATTGCATGGCCTCTAGATGGATTCTGAGCAGCTGGAATCATTCTCCTTCTTGTTGTAGACCTCCTCCCCATCCACCAGACTAAGATGTGGAGGCTCTCTCCTCCATCACCGCAAGCTTCGCTTACCGGAATTGGTTTCAGTTCTCCAAGTATCGATTTCATTGCTACTTGTAGATCTTTTTGTTCTTGGGCTGGGTCTCTGCTCTAGGTTGCTCTGGTTGAGGGCTGGGTTGCTTTGGGCTTGTATTTCCTGTGAAAGGTTGTCTTTAGCCAAAGGCCTTCTTTGTATTTTCACTTTATATTTATACAATTTGCTTTAATTTTCAAAAAAAAAAAAAAAAAAAAAAAAAATCACTCACAATGACTCCTCTATTAACACGTCTTATAAAATTAGGATCCAAAGCAATCATTCAAAAGGTTTTAAAAAATCTCTAAAATGCGTTCAGCAGTATCAACAAGCTATGTATTATAATTGGTTATGAGTAGAGAGCCTGGCAAAGATTAATGAATAAATTTGAGGTTTAGCTACTTAACTACCTGAATCTAATCTATTATGCATTAAATTAATTTGAAGATGAATGTGTTCACATCTAGAAAGAGACAGCAAGATTGAATGGGTGTCTCACAAGAGAAATGTTATTTTTTTATTTTTTTATGCAAAGCGTGACTGATACGTCCAGCAGTTAATTAGTTTAAAGTAATGACAAACATTGTGACACGTTATGTTTTGAATTTTCATTAAATGTATCATCCCACTTTCAAAGTAATATTTAGTGCATCGGTTATAGGTATGCTCAAAATCACTATAGCTATTAGTTGAGAGTAATTAAAAATATATATATGTGAGACTAATTTGATAAAATGATATATTTTCAACGATGGAAACGCCCTGGTATGTGTTTGCACACACCAAATATTCTCCCTGGGCACATATGACACAATTCGAGCACCTCTTGTAATATTTTTCTCTTACATAAAATGACAAATAGCTCCTTATTAATATGGAAAATATGTCTTCGTTGTTCTCACCAATAACAGGTATATATAATATTAGGTAAATTACATTGACCTTGTTGAGTTTGGGGCAAATTAGACAATCGATCAATATTTATTGTTGTGGGTGTCATACCTTCGAGTCCACATGGCAAACGCTATATTATCAACAATGGCCCACACAACTAAGTCAAACGGTCAATGTGTTACGCCACATCAATAACAATGGGCAACATAACCTGGTCAATGGTCAAAGTTACCACGATGTACATCAACATACTTCAAATAGAAAATTGAAGATTCGAAGACCCGAGTTGGGAGCAGGACTCAGGATTACCTGGGATCTGAGGAGGTTTTGGTTTATTGGCTGAAGTCCAGGATTCGTCGAGTCGACACTCGACCTAACTTGGAGAGAGAAATATCATTTTGACGCCCAATCATTTAACCATGTCTTATTTAACATTGCTTTATAAATATTTGAGAAATTAATCTCTTTTAATTTTTTTGTTAATAAATCCACACGTGATGTCATCAATGACATCACCCACTCTCACTTGGCCTAAAAAGATGATCCAAGGCTAAGGAGGAGGAAAATGAGCACTTACACATTTCTTTAGGCTCTCATATCCATATTTTCCCCGCACTTCACACCTTCTCTAAGGGAGTCAATGGTATTTTTTGTACACTTCCAACTTCTTTCTATCTCTCTCTCGAGTTTGCTTGGCTTCCACTTCTCTCAATTCATCTCGAATTCTATTACGTTGCAAGTTATAACTCACCATTTGTTACTTTATTATGATTTTGAACCCCAACCAAGTACTAAGAACTTACAATTGTTTTGACCTCAAATCTGTTTTATTTATTATTTTTAACATCCCTAAAAAGTGATTTTAAATATGAAAAGTCGATAATGCCCTTATATTATAATAGTATATTATATTACATTTTATACAGACCGAAGGATAAAATTATCTGATCAATGTGGGCGTCGAAAAGACAACGTTAAAGGAACCATTGAGTACGTGTCAAATATCCGAAAATATCAAAATAATAAACATTCAACGTCAGTATTAATTTGTCCAAACCTAGCTCACATGAGGTCAGCGTAATTTATTTGTGTGTTTTATATACATAAATAAAGTGTGTGTGTGTGTGTGAGAGAGAGAGAGAGAGAGAGAGAGTGAGTGGAGTTTTCCTCTTGGGTGAAGACTGAAGAGGCTTAGGTCAGAAAGACTACCAAATTTTCAAGACATTTCCACAGAGAGAGGAAGAGAATCATATCCTGTGGAATAAGGAAGATATCTGTTCTTCATACTGATACCACAGACACACAGTTTGTTTTAAGTTAAAAAGAGGTACACATATTGCAGGAATTAAGAACTATTTTATAGAAACAACAAACACACAATTCAGAGGGTTAAGCTTGGCATGAACAAGGAAGAGGAAAGTGCATGCATGTGAACTCTATATCAAAAACAACTCAGATCAGATAGAAGATAAAAATTGATTGGGACCATACACACACACACACACACACATATATATGTATATGTGTGTAGTATATGTGTGTAGCTTGCCATCACAATCCTTATAATGCCATCCGCAATTCATAGGGTTAAGCTTGGCTTGAACATGGAAGAGGTAAGTTCATGCATGTGAACTCTATATCAAAAACAAGTCGGATCAGATAGAAGATAAAAAGTGATTGGGACCATAAACATACATACATACATATATATATATATGTATATGTGTGTGTAGCTTGCCATCACAACCCTTATAATGGCATCCGCAATTCATCCAAGGTTAATTGGCAGCAGTGTCTAGTCTGCAACTTTAATTCGCTTAGTGCTGTTACAGTACACGCATGCCTGCAGGAAGAAAAAAAGCACCAGGCACAGGACCATACACCATGTGGATTCATATTTTGGTGCCAATGCATGATTTGACATGTCAATACATATATATATATATATACAAGAACATTTTTGGATTGTTGGCTTGTTTTTTTTGGATAAATCGACAAGACACATTCGTAAGCTCATAATGAACCTAGTCCTTGTTTGTTTCATTTTGTTTTTATCTTCTAAGGGGGCCAAATTCTAACATTTTAAAAAAATAAATAAAGACATAGAATCTTTTATATCAGCAAAATGAAGTTACAAAATAGTACTATGCTTGCTCTTGTTTTTTCACTTAAAACTTCATTTTTTAAATAACATAATATAACTATTTTTATTTTTATTTTTATTTTTTTACCATTAATAATTATCTATACAACAACAAGAAAAAGATAAAAACACAATTCCTCCTGATGTCATCCAACAGAAATGTCAGACACCTTTTAGTGTAAATTTGAATCAACGACCAAGACCCATGTGATGGTGCTATATCTCGTACAATAGTACCATTGAGAATAAAACACGCTATAATGCAATATGACAAATAATTCACTTTTATACCTTTCAAAAAATAAATAAATAAATAAATAATTCACTCTTAAAGGTCAAAAAACAAAATAATAACAATTCACTTGTAAGAATATATATATATAAAGACAATTAAGCACTAATCATTTCTGAAGCACTTCTTTCCGTATTAATGCAAGATAGAATATACTACTTTTAAAGGAAATAACATTATGAAAAAACATCAAGAAAAATGATACCCCCACATTCTTTGAATTTAGAAGATATTGACGGATTATTGTGTGAGTGGGGATGTAATGATCTCATGATGTTGTGTTGTGGGGTTACACTTGTTTACATATTTTTTATTCGGCGTAGTTTATCTTTTCTCTTTTTCAAAATGAATAGCAAATCTAATTGAATCACTTGTAAGAGTATCTATAACCTGAATTCATTTGGAAAATACTATAATAAGTGGAGAGCGGAGTGGCGAACTAAGGGCCTGTTGGTGGACCCTTGGTTCTATTATTTACAACAAATTTTTTTAAAGGAACCATAATTTAATTAATTAAAAAAGAGCCATTTTATTTGCATAATATTTTAATTATTATTTTTAAAAAAACAAAGAGCCTAATTCTTTGGCTTTTCAAATATATATATTTTTAAATTATTGTAAATACCACATTTAATTTACTCATTTTATTCTTCATAATTTATGTAGTGTATTTTTCTTTTATTTATTTATTTGTGAAAAAACATGTATAACAAATTTTTATTTATTTCCTTCAAATTATGTATAATGTCAACAAATATATAGTTGTTGGGAATATTGCCATTATATTTTTCCCCCTCTATTGAGGGAAGGTATACGTAGTGTATTTTTTAGGGTGTGTTTGGTTAGATGGAAGTAGTAGGAAAGGAAAGGAAAAGAAAAGGAATTTTTTTTTTTTTTTTTAAGAGTTTGGTTAGAAGGAAAGTGAAAATTTTGAAGAAAGTAACTTTTCTGCAACTTTTTTTATTTTCCTCAAAATGTTTTCCGCATAAAACACTAGAAAATTTCAATTTCTTGTGAAAGTTGTGACTCTATATTTTAACTTTCTGTTATACTCCTTATCAATTGGTGATTTGTATATGTGATTAACTCTTTATAGACTTCTAATATATTTGTATATGTGATTATCTTTATAGACTTCTAATATATTTGTATATGACAATAACTTAGAACACCAATTATGGAAAAACATTTGTCATGCACGTAACTTTTCAAATATTTGTTTTACCATGTATTTTTTAAGTAAGCCTCTAAAATCAACTGCTAAAACTTTTCTCACATATAAATAATTTAAAAATTAATATAAATAATCATATTATAATTCTTAATAATTTAATAATTTATCATTATTTATTTCTTTATTTTGTTTTTAAAAATGAATATAAATAATTGGGTTAGGGGAGTAACACAAATTTATTTTATTTTTAGTATTTAAAATCACAAGAGTAATTTTGGTAAGTACAATCATTTTCTTTTTTATTTCATGCTTTCCAAACTAATAAAACAATATTTTTCCACACTTTTCTTGTAAAATTTTCCTACTAACCAAATGTGTGTTAGAAACTTGATTTTTTTTTTTTTTTCCTTCACTTCACTTTCTTTCACTTTTACTTTCCATCAAAAAATTCAATCGAAGTAGAATGTTGACAAACACATATTTTTTTCATTAGCAATATGAAAGTTACATTTTATTCGATTAGCCGTTGGGAATATAACCTAACTTAGGAAAAACATAAATAATAAATTGAAATAATAAATCCAATTATAAGAAAGTGAGTTGCATACAACATGATTATCTAAATAAAAAGGAGGACATAACTATCCAAATAAAATGGTCATGCACTATGCATGTTTTAACTTTTTTGCCCTAGAGGATATTCTAAGTAAGATGCACTTGAAGTTGAAGATATCTAAAGATAGAAGATAATTAGGTCAAACAATTGGTTAAAAATAGCATTGCCATATTGTCAACTTCATAAATAAGATAATCAAACACTAATATCTATTTATCTCATGATCAAAAGAAGGAAAAAAAACATAATTCATGACAAAGTGAGGGGCAAGATATGGGATTTGACATTTATTTGGGTCCAATCAGCAAAGTTAAATTGGTGGGAATCAAAGGGCGTTATATTCGAAATTTCAAAAAATGGGGAAAAAAAAAATCATTGAGTGGAGGCACCAAAGACCTCTTTATACAAACAAAAACACCTCTCTCTTCTCCAAACCCACAATCTCCAGGCGAGTGCTAGACGAAGAAAACTTTTCCATCTGTTCTGCTTTCTGCGCCACTTTCTCTCTCCTCCCTGTTCCGTCGCCGCCTCCTCTTTCTCTCTCTAACCTTCGCATAAACCCTAATTTTCATTTTTCCAGTCGCCTTTCGCCTTTATCTCTCTTATTCCGCAGACCCTAATTGTTTTCTCCTTTTTGTTCCCAAAGACCCTAATCATATCCCAAAGCCTTTTTTCAAAAAGGTCTCTCAATTTCATCCACCTTTTTGCTTCATCATATTACGTACGTGATCGTGTCGTGATCATACAGCGATTATGTCTATATATAGAGAAGGTACTTCTGCTAAATATATCTGTATGTGTGTGTGTTTTGAGAGATTTTACTGTTTGATTGGATCAGTAAACTAACCCATAGCTATCGTTTTGGTTTCTACCTAGTTTAGGTAGGATGATATATTGTGAATTTTTAGTTCTTTTTATCAAAATTTTCCTCTGTTGTTGACCTGTTGTTAAGATATTGGACATGTTGTCTTGTTTAGCTCATGTTATTGAGCTTGCTTGGATCAATTCAACAGTCAGTTGATGATTTCTTATATAAAATATATACGTATGCGCAAGTTTATTGTTTGGTTGACTTCTTAAAGACCAGGGATGTCTGCATTAGGTAATGGGTTGTTGCTATATCCTTGAAAATTGTGTCAGAAATCATGTTTATTTGCCATTTTATTGTCACGGATTGATTATTTTGACTTACCCAGAAAAAAAAAACAATGGATTTTTTTGGAGTGTAGAATAAATGTAGTCTTTGTGGTTTGCTATTGTTTATTTGATTATCTACAGGCATTGGAACTGGGAATCATTTATAGTTTTTGGAATTATATTTTTGGTGAACTTTTTTTTTTTTTCAATGTTCTCACTGTATTAATGGGTTTGGAATGTTTGTTAAAGTGTTTGTAACCTTCTATTGTTGTTAAATTGAGTCCACTTTGGCATTGAATTCTTTATTGAAAATTGAGTGTTTGGTAAGCTTAAGTATAACGAGTTTAGAATTATATGAGGATCAATTCCTGTTTCTTCTTGTTGACTTTTAAATTTTAAATGAAGATATGGAAGTAAACGGGGAGCATGATTTGAAGACGCCGCTTTTGCAATCTTTGGACAATGTTGCGGTCACCATTTCTCAGCCAACTAATAATGATGTCAAGAAAATTAAGACGATTATGTTCAAAATAAGCGGCATCGAGTGTGGATCTTGTGCGACTTCCTTAGAACCTATACTCAGTAAGCTTAATGGTGTCGAGAGTGTTATGGTGTCACCGCTCCAAGGCCAGGCTGTAGTCAGTTACATGCCAGAACACACTAATGTAAGTCAGATTTATTATTAAAGTTGTATTTCCGTAAAGTTATACATACTTCTTTTCATTTTAACAGGCTGCCTAGGCATGATAATTTGAAATTGTGGTAGAAATTGGCTTCTATATGTTTCTTTGCAACCTTTTGGGAGCTGTATTTTCTCATTTCTGTTATGCAAACGAAATCTAACTCGAACTTGCTCTTTTTTCTTATATGCAACTTCACCTTTGATTATATGATGTCCTTAAGTATTAATGTCTGGCCTTTTTATACGAGTGTTCTTGTATTGACCAAAAATATTATGTTTTGCTCATGTGCATGCTGAGATGATGGAGGTCAGGAAATGAAATTTGGAATATTGCAGAAGAATATTTGAATATTCTGGGATTAGAACTATGGTTGTAAGGTTTTAAAGTATTATTCACCCCCTGTATCCTCAGAAATTGAATGGGGTGTTCTTTTTATTGCTTTTCTTAAATCTTACTGGTTTAATTGACAGTGTCTATGTATTGCAAATGTAAGTACAAAGGTATTTTTTAAATAAAAAAAACGAATCTATATATATAAAGAATATATAACTTCTCTCTCTCATGCACATGTTTACCATATGTATCTTTTTGTCCATGTTTTAAATGTGTGCAATAAAAAAGAATAAATAAGAAGAAGGTGATGATGATGAGCAAGAGAAAATGCAAATAAGAAGGCACTCCTGATTAAGTTTTGGCATTCTAAGCATACTTTTAAGTCATAAAATTTTAACTTTGATGTGAATGACTGATTGTGACACTTCTTATGAAGCTTAACTTAGATAGATTTTGAAGTTTTTCCATAATAATGCTACATGGTGGTCCCTATATTATAATTCTGTGTGTGGATGTTTATGATCTCTAGCTTTTTTATTCTTGTTCTTGCCTTATCCAGGGTTTAGCTGGAGCCTTAGGCAACGTAGGTGGTCGCCTAAGGCCCCAGCCAATAGCATGTATTAATAGTTAGCATTTAGGGATTTTCTACTTGGGTGCCATAAAAGGCCTAGATTTTTCGCTGAAGGCCTTAAATTATATTGAGTTGGTCTTGACCTTATCTTTCTATTCTTAGATGAGGGCATTAACAATGACATTTTATTCTAGGCAAAAACAATAAAAGAAACTGTGGAAAAATCAGGATTTCAAGTTGATGAGTTCCCAGAACAAGACATAGCAGTATGCAGGCTTAAAATTAAAGGAATGGCATGCACCAGCTGCTCTGAGTCTGTAGAGCGTGCCCTTTCGATGGTTGACGGAGTGAAAAAAGCAGTGGTGGGTCTAGCTCTTGAAGAAGCAAAGATTCATTTTGATCCAAACGTCACTGACACTGACCGCATCATTGAAGCAATCGAGGACGCTGGTTTTGGAGCCGATCTCATAAGCTCTGGGAGTGATGTGAACAAAGTGCACTTAAAACTTGAAGGTATTAAGTCAGTGGGTGATTTGACTTTGATTCAATCCTCCCTTGAGTCAATGGAAGGTGTGAATCTGGTTGAAATGGACTCGGAAGGACACAAGGTAACTGTTAGCTATGATCCAGATGTCACTGGTCCTAGGTCTCTCATCCACTGCATCCAAGAAGCTGGCTCTGGCCCCAACCTTTATCGTGCTAGCTTATACATCCCGCCAAGACGACGGGAAACCGAGAGGCAGCATGAAGTCCTGATGTACAGAAACCAGTTCTTATGGAGTTGCCTATTTTCAGTTCCAGTTTTTATTTTCTCCATGGTACTTCCAATGCTTCCTCGTTATGGTGACTGGTTAGACTACAAGATTCACAATATGATCACTGTTGGGCTGCTTTTAAGATGGATCTTTTGCACACCAGTGCAATTTGTTGTTGGCCGAAGGTACATGATTAGTATTTAAAAAAAAAATTTGCACCAAATTATTGTTATTATCTTTTTCTTTGAGATGAAGTATTATGCAGGTAGCCATACAAAACCTGATAGTCAATTGAATTTTTTTTTTTTTTTTTCAGGTTTTATGTAGGATCATATCACGCACTGAGGCGAAGATCTGCCAATATGGATGTTTTAGTTGCATTAGGCACCAATGCTGCTTATTTTTACTCTATGTATATATTGATAAAAGCTTTCGCTTCAGATACATTTGAAGGGCAAGATTTTTTTGAGACCAGTGCCATGTTGATATCCTTTATTCTTTTAGGAAAATATTTGGAGGTTGTGGCTAAAGGAAAAACATCAGATGCTTTAGCAAAGTTGACAGATCTTGCTCCTGATACTGCTTATCTATTAGCATTGGATGTTGATGGAAATGTTATCTCAGAGATAGAAATCAGCACTCAGCTGATACAAAGGAATGACATAATTAAGATTGTTCCAGGGGCAAAGGTTCCTGTTGATGGTATTGTTATAAGTGGTCAGAGTCATGTCAATGAGAGTATGATTACTGGAGAAGCAAGGCCAATTGCTAAGAGACCTGGTGACAGGGTACTGTTTGTTTGTTTGCTGTCCTTGATATTTACGACTTTGAAAATTCTAAATGGTAAACAATATCTTTGTTGATTTTATTATGTTAAATTTAATGAACAGGTTATTGGTGGTACTGTGAATGAGAACGGATGTGTTTTGGTTAAGGCCACTCATGTTGGGTCAGAAACCGCGCTTTCCCAAATTGTTCAGCTTGTGGAAGCTGCTCAGCTTGCCAGAGCACCTGTTCAGAAACTAGCTGACCGGATTTCAAGGTTTTTCGTTCCTATGGTGAGCCCCCCCCCTCTCTCATTCTACATTTTACTTCAGACTTTTTATTGAGATCTTTTAATACAAAGGTTGATTATTATAGTGTTTTTAAATAATTTGCTCTCTTTTAAGATTTTCTTCTTTTTCCTCCTTTACTTTCCTTTCAACTTAAAAAAAATTAAGTCTGGATTAGAACTGGCTGCGACGAAGAGATATTAAACATTCAATTGACCAATGACGATATTTGGATTTTCTTCATTCCAGAATATGTCAACTTGTTACCTTGACGCTAAGTTGCAGATTTTGTCAGTACTTGTTTTTGCAAATTTTTATTATTATTATTATTATTATTTTATTATTATTATTATTATTATTTTATTATTATTATTATTTTTTGTGTGTGGGGGTGGGGGGTTCAGGATGTAGATATCATCAGTGTACATTAATGTGATTGTTTCACTATATTCTACAATAATAAAGAGAAATGTAATTTAAATTCAAGACACATTTTGCTTTCAGGAGATAGCTTATGGAGCTATGTTATTAAAAAAGATTCGACTGTGCTATTCTTTTTATTTTATTTTATTCTATATTGCATCCATACGGCTCCTTTTTCTTTTTCGAAGTATTGCACCCACTGATGCAGAACCAGTAGAAAAGAAGAAGAAGAAGAAGAGAGAGGAGAAGAAGAATGAGGAAGAGGAAGAGTTATTTAGAGGGAGAGAATCTGTATATCAATGCTGAATAATATCAATCAATTATCCAAAGTAATCCACCCAGTGTATCAAGCTCTATATATATTGACTTACTGGGGGAAAAAAAAGCTCTATATGTATAGGCAACTAAAATAGAACTACCAATAATAAAAAAACCTAAAACTAAGGAAAATCTAATAAAATATAAAATAAATCTTAAAATATCCTCTGCGCCTAAGCCTAAAACAATTATGTAAAGCACGTGGTGCATGGAACTCATCACAATTTCCATCACGGACAATGCTCGACCGACAGATAACGTGTTTAATTACTCTAAGTGGATCTTGGAGGCAATGACATCTGTTGGTTTTCTGTATGATGTAGGGACCAAACAATTTTCTTTTGATCTTGGAACAAGGTCCAGTTAGCTAAAAATATAATTTATTTTACAAATTATCTAAAATTTTTGGTGTTGCAATTTGCACATTGCAGTTTTTGCAGCATTGTTGTGACTTATTTTAATTTTGGTAAAGAACTGTTGGGCGTGAAGCACTTGCATCATGCCATTTCTTATGTGATGTACCATTTATTACAATTTCACATTCCTTGACAAGTGCTCATTGAGTAACTTATTTTTTTCAGGTCGTTCTAGCTGCATTCGTAACGTGGCTGGGATGGTTTATCCTTGGAGAAGCTGGTTTTTACCCTAAACACTGGATACCAAAAGCCATGGATAGTTTTGAGCTTGCGCTGCAGTTCGGTATTTCAGTGCTGGTGGTTGCTTGCCCCTGTGCTCTGGGACTAGCAACCCCTACAGCAGTGATGGTTGCCACGGGAAAGGGTGCTTCACAAGGTGTGCTCATCAAGGGTGGAAATGCAATTGAAAAGGCACACAAGGTTCTTGAACTGTTTTGTCATTTAATTATAGTGTTTGATTGATACTACATGACAATATCTAATATAGCCTAATCCAATCAGTTGGGTGCAGCTTGTCGAAATGGGTTTAAATCTGAATATATATTTGGAATACAGTGCAATTTAAAATTGTCTACTTAAAATTTTTTGACTCCTTATAGGCTGCTTTCTGAAAAATGACTGGTTCTGCATCTCGTCTAGGCCATTTAAGCAAATCTTTGGACTCTTCTTCATGTCATAAGCTGTGGTTCTGGTTTTTAGTTCTTGATGGATCCCTTTTTATCCTTGCAGGTGACAACAGTTGTTTTTGATAAAACAGGGACTTTGACATCTGGAAAACCAACAGTAGTTGGTGCTGTTCTTTTTTCCAAATTTTCAATGGAGGAGTTCTGTGATATGAGTATTGCTGCAGAGGTGCATTTTTATCTCTTAAGTGCTTTTTCGATTTAAGAGTTCAGGAATTGAGTGATGTGGATTCTAGTTGCTAGTTGGGAATTTTGTGGAAACACTGGAAACCTGTGGTGACAAAAAGGCTTGGCAAGAGTTTTGGGAATCATTTGAAATAGGAACTAGTAATGGATTTGATATGGGCAAAATAAGAAACGGGATGTCGAGTTTGAAGCAATGCATTTCATAGTAATAATAATGAAAAAAGCATGTTTGAATTTGTGGAATCATTTAGGAGTGTTGCAAATAAATCAAGCAATATCTGCAGTCCTCGTATTTGTTGCAAAATTTACATTATATCTTGTCAATGGAATACTTCAACATGTATGAGTGGTCTGCGAACTTTTTGAACCCTAGACAGAAAAAGATGCTAATTTACACAGTGAAAAAGGACTTTTAGAGTACAGGCCCTAGTTGGGTAATTTTGTATTTTTCTGATTTTCAATGCACAAACTTAATTTTTTGGAACAATTATTTATCATCAGGCAAATAGCGAGCACCCACTAGCTAAAGCTGTGGTGAAGCATGCTAAGAAGCTGCGCCGGAATCATGGATCCGAAACTGAACATGTGGCTGAGGCAAAGGATTTTGAGGTGCACCCAGGATCTGGGGTGAGTGGAAAAGTTGGAGATAGATTAGTCTTGGTCGGGAATAGGAGACTTATGAGGGCTTTCAATGTCCCACTTGGTCCTGAGGTTGAGGACTACATTTCAAAAACTGAGCAGCTGGCTCGCACTTGTGTGCTAGTTGCCATTGATCAGAGAGCTGCTGGAGCTTTCGCTGTGACTGATCCAGTGAAGCCAGAGGCTGCACGTGTTATATCATATCTCCACTCGATGAACATCTCAAGCATCATGGTGACTGGTGATAACTGGGCTACAGCAAACGCAATTGCAAAGGAAGTTGGAATTCAGGAGGTTTTTGCTGAGACAGATCCACTGGGAAAAGCTGATAAGATAAAAGACCTGCAGGTAAGTTTGTTCTTACACACTGCTTGCTACCAAGTCTGCACAGACCAATGTGAATTTCAGATCTTTTCATAATTGAGAAATTATTCTGAAGGCCAAAACCCAATAGCACAAGGAAGACGAATATCCAATCCAAGAAAGTCTATATACTGCTAATATGCTGCCATGTGGTGATGTACTATAGGATTTCCAGGATTGTTGGACTCACCTATCACCTTGCCATTTTAAATGGCAATTAAAAGTCTTGCTAGGATTGTTGGACTCTCCTATCGCCTTGCTAGAGTTCTATGCATGTAACAACCACAAAAGTAGTAGTAGTATTACTGAGCTGTGTTATGCTGCTTGAGTTCTTCCTCTAGGAAATGGTATTTTAACACCAAAACTGGGTTTTTGAAGTTGGTGATACCATCTGACCATATAGTTTGAGAAGCAAGAAAAATATGTTCATCGGTGGGGCTTGGTAGTGGATTTTCAATAATGTAGACATTGGACATCCTATAAAGTATGGATATAGAATAAGTAAATTAAATGGCTTAGAAATGCAATTTTGGAGTTTTTATAGCTTTAAAACATTCTTCTTCTTACTTTTTATTATTATTATTATTATTATTTTATTTTTTTAACACTCGTATAATATTTTGTCAAGTGACGTTAGTTCTAATCTCATCTTGGTGATTGCAATGATTTGTTAATATAAAACTATGGTGTTCTAAGGTTGAATTACTGCAGAGTCTATTCTATCTTTTCTTCTACAAACAATAAAAAAGATTGTTAAGGTCACGGAGTTGATTATAAATTTGAATATGGGAAATCAGCACATTAACAATAGATTGATGAGAAAGATAATGAGCATTAACATATGTTTTTTTATTTAAGAATGTCCAAGTATTTAAGTTGCTTGAGATTTGAGTCAGGCAAGCCAAAGTTGTGTTAGATAATCATCTGAGAATGTACCTAGTGTAGTTTTTAAACACTGGTGTTCAAGTTGCAATGTCAATGGCACAGGCACAAGCATATGCATGACATGTGCAGGAACATGAACAAATTTCAATATGCATATCGCTTTTCCCGTTATTCAATGACACTGTGGTACTTTGAACTTCTGACGACTAATTTAGTTACTTTGATTACTTGTTAGCCCCCCCTTCACATTTCATTTTTGCTGAAATAATAATAATAATTATTATTATTAATGATGAACTACAATAAAACACTGTAAACTGGATTTTGACTATTTGAACTAATTTTCGTTGCAGGTGAACGGCACAAGGGTTGCAATGGTTGGAGATGGAATAAATGACTCACCAGCCTTAGTTGCTGCTGATGTAGGCATGGCAATTGGTGCGGGAACTGATGTAGCAATAGAAGCAGCTGACATAGTTCTGATGAAGAGCAACTTGGAAGATGTAGTCACAGCCATAGATCTCTCAAGAAAGACCATGTTCCGCATTCGGCTAAACTATGTGTGGGCTCTTGGCTACAACATACTTGGCATGCCGATTGCTGCTGGAATCTTATTCCCCTTCACTGGAATCCGCTTACCTCCTTGGCTTGCTGGTGCTTGCATGGCTGCTTCATCCATAAGTGTGGTTTGTTCTTCACTCCTTTTGCAGTCATACAAGAAGCCTTTGCAAGTTGAAGATGCTCGAGGATCAATTGAATACACCAAATCAACATGAGAATCAACAGTTACGCCTAGTTCTTAGCTTCTGTAGCTTTAGGGTTCTTGTTAACTAGGGTGGTAGTAATTGCTGAGATGATTGATTGTTCACCCATGCCATTACTTTGTATATTGCCATGCTAGAAGAATTTGAAAGCATAATAATATTAAGATTGCAATGTTACAATTTTGCTTTCTGCAGAAATGAGAAATGTACTTAAAATACCAATTTTTTTCTTGCTGGTATAAATTATTTCTCAGTTGTGGGCTGTTGAACCAGCATGTTTCAGGGAATTTCAGATGAGAAAGATCAAAATGGCATCACATGCTTGGAGAGACTATACTCTATTAGTTTCCTCTTGTATCAACTTGTATCAGGATAATTTGTTGCAGTAGTTTTTCAATGCCAAAGCCTGAAACTTTGTCCTTCAATTTAGTTTAATATTAGGGCATTACCAAGTGGTTTAGTTGGTAGAGCGCCAATTTTCCGAGTGGGTGTGTTTATATTCGAGTAATAATCTAGAGTCAAACTAACAGGTTAGTGGCCTAGCGGTATTGGGCTCTTACTTTCCAAAGGGAAGTCAGGGATTTGAGCCTCGATGGAGGCATGTGTGTGTGAGTACCAACTAGGGAAAAAAATAGTCTAGAGTCAACATCATCAAATGCAAAACTGATTGTACGCCATGACACGGTCGAATGACCAATAAAAGTTTGACACGTTTTCAAATGGGTTTGACGTGATTCAGGCAATGAGGCGTGTTTTTGTGTGAGTTGACCATACTTGTTAATCTGACCACTTTAAGAGAGTGCAACTCGTGGATTGTGATGGCTGAGAGGTTGAGCATGTGCAGGTGGCATCAGTAGGCTATCGTGCTATAGGTGCACAATTTCACATTGCCCAGGTGTGGATGGGGCAAGTGCTATATGTATATTGACACAATGCGCTTTAAAGTCGTGATGGCAGTGAACTCATCATAACTCCAAAATTAATCGTACTTAACTTGAGCAGTACCAGGATGGGTGACCCCTGGGAAGTCTCGGGTCAAGCCAGAACCATACTTAGCAGATTTTTTAGTATCATTTTAACCCACAATGTGACGACCCTAGATTTTACAAACCCAGTGTGTCCTGTGATGACCCAAAACGGATCCAAAATGCGGAAACTAAACATAAACAAGTCCAAAGAGATGTACATCATCCCTAAGACACGAGAGTGACCTTTTGAGGAGTCCCGTGACTCAACGGAAGTGAAACTGGAGTTAGGGTTTCAAAACCCTACAAGGAATGGACTAAGGGAAAAATGGTCATTCCAAACTGAAATGGGTGCCACTGTGCACACCCTTGGAGAGACAACAAAAAATGAACGAAGTTAGATTCAAGAATCTCCTGATTCCGAGTCCGGACGGAAAAGATATGAAGATAAAACGATACTACGTCCTCCGATTAAGAGATACCACAACCCTATCTCACTAAAACTATCACAACTCTCATTACGGTTGGAGTTTCTATGTGTGGTTGGTACCATTGGAAAGCTGACTTCAAACTCTTGAGGTTAGACTAAAAAATGACCCAATTTGGACAAGAAATGAAGAAGTTATGACCATCTGAAGTCGGTGCAACAGTGCTGTCCCAAAACTGAAGAATAAAGAACTGAAGCATTTAGGTCGACCGAAATGAACCCAAAATGACCCTAAATCTTAAAAATGAAGGAAAAATGCATCGGTCGACCGAAATGATGCATCAGTCGACCGGTTTTGGCCCAAACAGAACATTAGCTATTGGAATTGACAAAATACTGTTCAAATCAAATTGAACATAGAACCAGTCGATTGAAATGAGCCACCGGTCGACCAAAACAGGTCGAAAATGTGTAAATCAGGCCTGCTATGCACCAGAAGATGAAAGAGTTCTTAAGTTTCCTTTAAATCCCCTATAACATGATCAAATTTAAAACCCTGCATTTGTGTGCTATTGTGAGCATGCACGCAAACATAAAATAACATTTTAGATGCGCTACAATGGCCTACGGCCTTATTACATCCCATTTACTCCAAATCATATGTCAAACCGCTAAAGTTAGTAAAATTACATTTTTAAACAAAATAAGGCACCAAATGAGTACAAGTGCTAATATAAACATGCTTAACCCTTGGTCTCATTACATACATATCAAATGAGTCCTAGTGGATGTACTCGTGCACCCGATTTGGAAACCCTTAAAAGCTCGGATTTTTCTAGTTTTGCCCAAAAATGCAATTTATGAAACCAAAATGCAAGACCTAAAACAAAATGGTGTTCGGCCCTTAGCCACACCTCATACATATTAAATAAAGGCCAAATAATGAATTTCATACCCAATGCACACTCTGGTGCAAAAATGACATGCTAAGACCATGATTTTCATAGTATTTGCATTAAAGGCAAATTTCAACATTTATCAATAAACATGGATTTCAAATATGGTTTGGCCCTTGGCTACATATCATATACATAAAATGAATGTCAAAAAGTGTGCTTATGCACACCTTACAAGTCTCAAGGTAAAAATGACATTTTAACCTAACTATACATTACAACTTTAAAAGTAAAACTCAAACATGCTAACACTTGCATGTGAACAAGAATTTATTTAAGAGAACTTCAATCTGATGAAGCAACCTAGGGATATTATGCATCCCGTATCAAGGTGTCCATACCTGAAATAGCCCGATAACTTTGGGGTGAGTAAATAAGTTACTTGTAGGGAATGAGCATGCATAGACCTAACTTTTTATAAGGTTTTTACATTAACGTGAAACAATTCAAGGGGTCATGCCACCTAACGTCTATGTCAAAAGTGGGATTAAGGGATCATCTCAAGCTACGCTAACAATTGAAATGAATTACGGTATATAAGTATGCATGCTTAAGTATACTAAACAATGTCAAAACATGTTATACGACGAATAAGCATACATTTTCAAGTATACTAAACCATATTAAAACAAGTTGTTCAATGTCTAAGCATATCTACACAAGTATACATTTAATATGGAAATCTCGTAAATCAAGTACACAAACACAAGTATACTAAATGAAACCTACACACACGGAGTAAGTATACGAGTTCAAGCACACTAAAGGAGATTCTAATACACAAACAAGAATACAAGTTCAAGTGTGCTGAATGAGATCTAAATACACGAAGCAAATATACGGTTTCAAGTATACTAAATGAGATCCAAATATACAAGGCAAACACCAATTCACAAGCTATAAGTAATCCATGATTAACAACTTGGAATGGAATGCGTAATCAAGTCAAATAGTGGAAGGACTAAGAATACTTGGTTAATGACCAAGCAAATTATTCCGGGCAATTATTCCCACAAGGTACTACCTAGTGTGCCATGTATAAGTGATTCTGGGCAATTACTCCTACAAGGTACTACCTATGCACACTTCATATGACTAAGGAGACTCTTGTCGCCGTATTAGAGCTAAACTCTAGCCATCACATGTTCCTTTTCCTTACAAGCCTTCTAAAAACAAAAGTTCAAAACTTATGCAAAATTGATAAGTTAGACCAAACTTATACAACTCAAATAATGTATAGGAATCAATTTCCATGCACAAGTAAGGTTAAATCCACACAAACCATGTCCTAGAGTTTCAAGTCTACAATGACTTTCACAATGTCGAATCTTCAATGTGCGATTCGTTACACACTATGACAATATCATTTCAATATCAAAAACACAATCTCATCCAAACAACCCCTAATTAATATATGTAATACAATATAACATGATTATTGCATAAACCAACTCAAAACTAAATTAGGTCATTGAAACAACAAAATAGGATTTAATTTAAATCACGGTAATTAAATCTCTATATTCTAAAACAACCCCAAATGGCCCTAAATTGATATATATTAGTGAACAAGTCCTAGACATTACAATTATCAAGTTAAAAACTCAACCAAGCCAATGGAACCATTAATTAGATTTTAATTAATTCATTTAATTCAAAACCTCTAGATTTCTAAACTTATCCAAATGCTCTCAATTTAACATAGGTTAAAGAACATATCAAGGCCTATTTTAATATCACATTACAAGTTGATTTCATACTTGTTACAACTATGTGAATTAATCTTTCATAAAATATAATTATTAAATAAAAATTGTAATTATTAGTCAAATGTTCCCAATTTAATATATGTTAATAAACATACCAAGGCCTAATTTACAAGTATGTCACAATTTAATTCTAAGTTGTGTATGACCATGAGAATTAAATCTTAAACATAGAAAATAATTAAATTAAATTCTAAAATTTGGACAAAGGCATGCATACAAATTGTATAAGCTATTAAAATATCAATACAACATTAATATAAATTTATGACATCTCCTACCTTAATTTGAGATGAAAATCTCAAAAGCCACCAAAAGAAAACCGCCCCAAATCCGATGATACTTCGGGGTTTTGTCGGGGACTACAAGGTGAGCATTAAACCCCAAGGAAGTCACACCAGAATCCTAACTTGGCTTCAAACCCGAACTCGCAAAATGGCCAAAACGGGATTCCAATCGGTTGTAATCGAAGGCCTCGTCAAGGCGAACATTAAACATTAAGGTACTACGACTTTTTACTAAAGGGAAGTGGCCGGAAAAAGAAGAAAGAAGGTGGCAACCATGGCTGGCCGGCCAAGGAAGAGAGAGGAGAGGTTTGCCTTTTCATTTCTAGAACCCCCTATTTATAGAATTTCAAAAAATGCCCCGAACGGGCCCCGTCGGTCCGAAAAAGTAAAATTTGAGCAGACGCGCTCAAACTGCAAAATTCCGTGAACGAAAAAGAACCAAAATGAAAATAAATAAATAAATAAATAAATAAAATAAAGAACAACTGAAGAAACGGCGTTGAAAACTGAGTCCCGAGTAGAGAGATATGCCCCAAACAAGTTTGGCGCTAACCGATGTCAAAAACCCAAAAACTGGGGAGTTCGATCGCAAGACAATTCTAAAAGTATACAACTCGACGAAATGTGAAAATAAATCCCGTACGAGGATTCAAACCCCAATGAGACACTTAGTAATTAACTTTCATTACAAAAAGATAATTACGCAAGTGACCCAAATGAAAAGATATTTTTTAAAAACCCCTAAATCAAAATATCTTGAAAATATATTTACGAAAAATACCTCAAGAAACGAAAATGGTTCTGAAGAATCTCTTCATCCACACCCTTGCGGGAAAAAGAAACAATCGGCGAGTTTTTCTCCAAAAGTAAAGTTACGCCTTTCAAGGAAATCAACAAGAATGGAAGTATGTGAAGTCAAAAAACCAACTCCGAGTACGAAAAAAGGAAATTTCAATGAAAAAAAAAATTAATCCGTAAAAATGGAGAAAAATGAAAGGAAGGAAAATGACCAGGTCATTACACACAAGAAAAAAAATAAGTTATTTTTTTTGTTTTATTTATCTACTTTTTACTATTATAAAACGACGTGGTTTAATAATAAGCTCCATTTACCAATGGGTCAGTGGCCTAGCGGTATCAGTTTCTTACTGTTCAAAGGGAAGTCAGGGGTTCAAGTCTCAGAAGAGACAAGTGTGTGTGAGTACCAACTACCAACTACCAACTAGGAAAAAAAAAATAATAGGCTTCATTTGCTTAAATGAAAATAGCAAGAAAAGAAATGAAATGAAAAATGAAAGGAAAATTGATTTTCTAATATGTATTTGGTTATGATGAAAATTTATTTAAGAAAATTGTAGGAAAATATCATATTATAGTTTGGATACCTAAATTATCCATATTTGATAAAAATAATAAAGAATTAGTAATAAATTATATTAAAAAAATGATAAAGTTTTCAATTAATTTAGACCTTCCGAACTACTATTATTCATGTATGATGAAAAACAATTAGGAGTGGAAGTCAAGTTAATTGAAACTTTATCAATGATAAACTTGTTGGTGGACTCTAATTCTTTGAAACCCAGTAAAAAATTATTATTGTCTCCAAATATAGATGAAGTTGTTGGATAAAATAATACTTCATGAAGTTGTTGGGTAAAATAAGGAACATTAAATAAAAAGATGATACTTTAGGAGAAAATAAAAAGTTACAAAAATCTTAATTTTCTAGAACTTTTCATTTTCTATTTAACCAAATTACAAAAAAGTTTTAAAATTTTTTATTCCTTTTCTTTTTCAATTGATTCTATCTAACCAAACAAATCTTTAAATAAAAGATTTTGGAGACAAGTATTATTCTAATTTTTTAAACTAGGGTTACGTTATAAGAATAATTCGACTCGAGAGAGGTTAAGAAATTGATTCTATTTCCATTTCTCAAGAAAAAAAGAAAGAAAGGAAGAAAAGAATTACGATAATTCTATTATTTAATAAGAGACAATAATAATAATAATAATAATAAAAAACACGGGTGTCATGCCAATGGATTAAAGAATATGGTATTAAAATGTAAAAAAGAAAAGACAAAGGGCCAAATACAATTGAATTCAAGAATGGGACGTTGCAAAAGTTCCAAGGTAAAGTTCAAGATAAGGAGAGAGAAAAAAACAGAGGGTAGAGAGAGAGATGGCAATTCAATTGAACCAAGTTCACCACATATCCACTCCAAAGCATGGAAAACAACCCAATCCACCCCTCTCCGGCACTCAACGTTTACAGGTGAAGGCTGCAGTGTCCGGCCAGCAGCTAATACGGAGCGGCACAGTCCGGCCGATACCGGCCAAGGAGGCAGCCTCCGCCATGAAATCCGAAGGCTACATCCTCCTGGACGTCCGGCCGGAGTGGGAGAGAGAAAGAGCCAGAGTTTCAGATTCTTTGCACGTGCCTCTCTTCGTCCAGGACATGGACAATGGCCCCATAACCCTCCTGAAGAAGTGGGTGCACTTTGGGTACATTGGGCTTTGGACTGGCCAATATTTCACCATGATCAATCCTCAATTTGTTCAGCAACTGGAGATGGAGGTTCCTCAAAAGGACACTAAGCTGCTCATAGCTTGTGGAGAAGGACTAAGGTGCATGAATATATATATATATATATATATATATATATATATATATATATATTTGTTAATTGGTAATTTTAATTATATTTATTCTTTGCTGACTCTCTTCTTATTTAACCCAAACTAATAATAATAATAATAATAATAATATATAAATAAAATTTATCAGCAAAGAAATGTAGAATTGTCGTTGTGAAGTTGTTGGTGAAAATTTGAGCGTAACTTTTCAAATGCCACTTAAGTTTTGAAAGCACTTCTCGAAGCCTTAGTTTTGATTTCCAGACACTCATTAGGTGCTTGCTTCCAAACACAACATGAATGTTAATGAATATATTTAGCTTATGTTTAGAAATGACTTGATAAGTTGGGACAATGGGACCTAGGACAAAAACTTCAAATAATACATCTTTGGTGTTTAATATATCAATTTAAATAATATTAATAATTTATGTTTGTAAAAATTTTCAATGATGATATATAAATGCCTAAATGGGGTCTTCTCTTATCATACTGGTTCTTAGACAATCAATTCTGAAAGCAATTTTAATGGCTGTAAGGTGGAGTCAACCGGTTAGGTGCCTGACATTATATAGAACTAATTATACAATTTTAATGGCTTAAATTGTAGTGAGTTGATAATATTGTAGTATGAGTTTAAAATAATAAATTTAAATTTTTTTTTGGATAGAATACACAATTTAAATAAAAAAAAATTAATTACACTATAAAAATTGATAAAATGTATATATATATATATATATATATATATTTTTAAGGTTAAGTGCAAAAAACTATACAAAAAATGTGCAAAAAACACTCCCCTGAAAAATTAAGTGCACATAAATCTTTGTATTATTAATATTTTGAGCAAATTACCCCTTAATTATCAATTTTGACCAATTCTTTTATAAAAATCCCATAATGCCCTTACGATGTATGAATTAAAAAAAAAAAAAAAACTTTCTTTACTTTCTCTTTCTAAACCGTTTCTAGCTTTCTCTCTCTCTATATATTGTAGATCACCAGACGTTTTTATAAGCTTTAGCAACAACGAATTAACTTTTACCTAAAATTCACTACTTTGATATATAAAATAAAAAAAAAATATGTATTAAAAATCACTACTTCGATAAATTTTATTTTATGTATTTAGGTAATTTCTAAAGCAAATTGCTTGAAAAACAATATAATTTTTCAAGATTATAAAGGACGAATTTTAATCAGTAAAAACACGAAAAGGACGAATAATGAAGGTGTTTATTTATTAGAATTTAAAATAAACGGATTATTGATATTCTTTAAAAATGAGTATTTTTCAAAATGTCGTGAATTTAGATATAGATTTTTACAATAAGATAAATGTTGCAAAGATATTTGAATCATCTCAATTTGCTAGTTTTCGCCATACCATGGAGCGAGAGATGCAAAAGCTCAATTCTCCCCACTTGTTGTTCATTTACATTCCAAAAATCAAAAAATTTAAATTACATGAACATGTTATATATATCCCTGCAACAACCTCTACTCCAATTTGTTCTAGCTGGTTCCTAGTTTTTTGGTCATATTTTGAACAACAAATTGTTAGAGAGAAAAATAAAGATTTTGCTTCTAAAACCAGAGTTACCATGGGTTAAGTGCATTTTTGTTACTGGAACCGGAGGGAGAGAGAGAAGGAAAGATTTTTAGAGAAAGACATAATATATATATATATATATATTTGTATGTATATATAATTTTATTATTATATATTTTTAAAATTTTGTATGTCTTTCTATTTTTTTTCAACGAACATTCTAATTTTATTATTATATATTTTTAAAATTTTGTTATTCAGGTATTTTAGACATTTCAATGGCTAAATTGACTTAATGTTATTTGCACAAATTGTAAAATATAGTAGAGTTTTTCCAACAACAGAAGATTAATTATACATTTTGTATATTATGAAGGATTTTTTTTTACGCTTAACTTTTTTTTTTATTCAAATTTTGTAACAACATATATGACAATTTGAGTCTAAATTTTATATCCCAATCGTAGCATTTAGAAAGTATTTGTGTGGAGAAAAAGTAGGTGATAATTTTCCCAATAAACACCTCACCCAATAAAAGTTATATAACATAGAAACTGCAAGTCCAAGTTTTGAACTTATTCAAACTTTTCGGCACCGCCCAATCACACCCCTTTTCAGGTCAATATACTTTAAAAAATAAAAAACCTGAAAAAGTAAGTTCCATATAAGGAGAATGGTCAACGCAAAGTTACGGTCAATTGCAAGTGTTGTTGATTGAGTGATTGAATTGTTTTTGTTAATCGCATTCGACCTTCCTCTTCCTTTTCACGAATTAGGATCAACAAATTTAGAAGCGAATTCAGAATTTTAGAACAAGATTAAAATTTTATAATAATTTTTGAGAGTATTAACAATATTTTATGAGTATATATTAAAAATAATAATAATAACATGATATATTGGTTAAAAAAAATATTATATAGTGAATTGCTGGATGGAATAATTTTGATGGGTTATGCATACAAAATATAAGAAATTTGGACTCTTATTTTATTGACCAATCAATAAAGTTTAGTCAAACTTTTCTCTTTAACAATTTGGCAAATATTTTTTTAATATTCAATTAATGCATTATTCCATGTGTCTATATATATATATATATATGTTATACATTTTTTATAAAATAGAAAAAGTTATTTTTAGATAAACTTAATTTAATTGAATTTTATGAAAACAATTTTCTATAAACTAACAAACAAATAAGTTGTGTAATTTTTTGATTTTTATTATTCTGAAAATAGGATATTGTAATTAGAAATCAACAGACCTGTAACCTAGCGGTATCAGTCTCTTACTTTCCAAAGGGAAGTCAGAGGTTCAAGCCTCAGAAGAGACAAGTGTGTGTACTAATTAGAAGAAAAAAAAAGAGAAAAAAAGAAAAATGAATTAAACAAGGTCTAAATAATCTTTGGCATTGTCCTATGTGAAATGGTAGCTCTCATAGTCACATGACCTCAATCTTACCAATTTCTCAACCCATATATTACACCAGACAAGGAACCATTTAAACATGTATACATATATTATTTATAGAGACGATTTGTATGCAGTCATATCATATATGTATATATATTCATGTCTAAATTGTGGAAGTATGCCTTCTCTAATATATAATAGATCACAAGTATGTTTAAATTCACTAGAACTATTTGAAATTTAATTAATTTGCTCATGTAGGTCTATGATGGCTGTTTCAAAGCTACACGAAGAAGGATACAGAAACTTGGGGTGGTTGGCCGGAGGATTCAATCGTGCTGCCGACGATGATTTCCCGGCGGTTGAAGGGACAGGGAAGCTGCAGTATGCCACAATAGGGGGTGTGTCATACTACTTCCTTCAATTGCTTCTACTACTACAAGCAGTAGGAAAGAATGGAGGAAATTCATGATTAATTGCTCGTCCATCGCACGGATTCTTAATATCGTGGAGTCTCGAAAAAGTCAAATGTATGAGGTCTCACTCATGTTGAAAACTTTTTTTTTCATTTTAAATTCTTGACTAGAATGTGGCATGAGAGCAATCTTGTCGTTATGCCAAACCCGGCCCTAATTGTTGTCAATTATTGTTCTATATTAAATTAAATTGTTGGTTTATCTGAATTTAGTGAATTTAAAATTTATATTACTATTGTTTTTGTTATTATTTATTTATTATTATTATTTTTTAAGTTTGAACTTTGAAGTGCTCTCATGTTGTTAGTTTCTTTATTTTAAGAAGTGTAATATCCAATGAGTTCATATTCATATACATAACTCAAAATTTAGTCCCATGTTTAATTTGAAATTAAAATCAACCATCTATACTGTAATGTCCCATTTCGTTTTATTCTTGAACTTTATTCTAAAAGGCCGCATACTAATTGAAGATAACATCGCCGCGTATAAACACTTCACATTTCCCTTATTCAAATTGTATACCTGTAACTCGCCTACTGTGGTAGCTTGACAGTACCTTTTGTACCCGCCCACAAGGTTGCCACAATCACCCCTCATTGAGGGCCAACGTCCTTGTTGCCACACTTTCAACTAGGTCAGACTTTGATATCATTTGTTACGATCCACTTCACCACGCGGTATGATATTGTTGGCTTTGGATCCGAGTTCGCACGATTTTACTCTTCAACTTTATCCCAAAAGGCTTCGTACCAATTAGAGATAATATCACTACATATAAGCACTTTACATTTTCCTTACCCAGACAATGCGAAATTATATACTTGTAACTTGCTTAGTGTAATAGCCCATCAATGCCTCTTGCACCCGCCACAACACCCTTGCCCACAAGGTTGCCACATATATACACACGAATCATTGTCAGAAAAATATGTCCACTTGCTAATTTTATGCAATTGTGTAATTTAAAAACCTATATAATTGATGAATATGCTCATAAATTGTCAAACCGGAGTAGTTTATACTCAATAATTTATAGGGTCCGGAAATTTACATATGATGAAAAGTGAAAATGTAAAAGAAAGTGAAGTAAATGAAAAAAAAATTAAGTTTCGTATTTGATTATGAGGAAATTTCTTTAAGAAAATTGAGGGAATATTATTTTGTTAGCTTAGAAAGAATGAAATTTAAAAAAAATGACTGTACTTATCAAAATTACTCTTGTAATTTCAAATACTAGAAATAAATAGATTTGTGTTACATCAGTACCCTTTGTATACCCAATTATTTATATCCATTTTGAGTAGCAAAAAAAAAAAAAATGATAATAATAATAAAATTATAAATTATAAAAAATAAAAAATTAATTATTTATACAAATCTTAAATTGTTTATATATATATGTGTGTGTGTGTGAGAAAAGTTTCATAATGTTTTTAGCCATTAATCTTAGAGGCTTACTTCCAAAATGTTTCCACATTGTAAAACAAATACTTGAAAAATTAGTAAATGTGCTACAAGGATAAAATGCTCCCACAGTATAATTTAAAGTAAAACCGTGTTTTCTGTTACGAGGATAAAAATACTGTTCACATTAGGCAACTGTTATGGTCAACGACATATGAATCTATTTAGTTCAGTTTTTTATTCGTAGAGAATTAAAAATTAAAAATTATACAAAAATATGTTTGATTACCAAATTTTGTTTTTAAAAACTCAATTAAAAAAAAAAAACCTTTATTAAGATAATTATCTTTTCTAATAATTTGAAAATAGTTTCTTGACCTCTAAGCCCTTGAGAACTGGTTTAAAAAATTGAATCAACTAAGTCTATACCAGTTCTAAAACCCTGTGAGGAAATTACAAAGAAATTATACTTTTCATTTTACAATATAATTGAGTCATATCAATGAGTCAATGACAAATTTACAACATTTTAATTCTTTTTAAAGTTTTCTCATTAGATTACTCCCACCTGTTTCAAGCCCATGACATTGAGTGAGATTAAGGCTCCGTTTGTTTCGACGTAAAATATTATTTTTGAAAATTATTTTTATTTTTTAAGTAAAATATTTTTTTATTTTTACTTTGTCGGTGTTTGGCAAAGATTTACGTCAAGTTTGAGGTCGAAACCATCGGACAAAACATGTAAAATAACTTGTCGAAAATTTACGGATAAATTATTTTTATTAAATTTTAATATTTTTTTTTTTGTAAATATTTTACGACAACCAAGAAAATTAAAAAAATATTTTATGTTCAAACAAACGGAGCCTAGATTTCAAAATTGCATAATAGAGGGGATATGAATTCGCACTCACAACACTCAATTCAATTCATTCAAGTACCCAAAGTTCGTCCTACCATACTATTGCTTTCTGTAAAGAAAATCTTTTTATTTTTGGTTGTCCCAAAATAAATACCTCATTTAAAAAGTCAAAGAGCTATTTTATTTTATTTATTTATTTATAGCATTACTAATTTAATCTTAAAAAAATAGTACTAATCCATATGGACGGACCCACCACTATGGATATTTTGGTAAGGACAATCCTCACGGATAAGAATGTGGATCAATAATATATATTATACATGTCTTCTTTAAAGTTAGAGATGATAATGTATATATTCACTTACCAAATTAGAGATGGTGATTTGATTATTATCTCTAATTTGATACTTAAAAATAATATTTATTTGTTATTAGTCACATCAGCGGCAATGATATAGGTATATGTCCTTTTTAATTACCGAATCAAATATGATAAGATACATATTCACTTATCAAATTAGAAATTATTTGATTATCATTTCTAATTTGGTACTTAAAATAACACGTATTCACATATTATTGTTCCAAATATTAAGATATACTAAAACTCATATTTAAAAAAAATAGATTTCTTAATAGAGATATTTAATTTGTTGAGTAACATTTTTATTGATTGATAAAACTTTACCGTCTAGTTGTCATTGGAATTTCCTTTTTCCCTCCATGTTTTTGGGTGATGGAAGTATTCAAATCATAGATTACTTCTTTTTTAACTCATGAAAAGTGCATGACTAAACCTATATCAAAACCTTTGATTTGATTTTGTGAATAATGGTCAAATTTGGACCAAAAGAGAACATTCTAATAAGGTTGGTACAAAGAAATTTCCAACCAGAATTATAGATGATTCAAAATTATAGGTGGGTAAAAACAGGTGTACAAAAATCTGGTGTCCTCTTCCCTACCGTCGGATTCGACTAACAATCATCACCAAAACCTACACTCAAAACCAATCAACCCAAATGAAACGATATAAACCAATACCTCTGCGACACACGTAAACATTTCTCCCCTATAAAATATCTCTATAGGTCAGCCACTACATAAACAGTCTTGTTCAGCTGTCGAAACCCTCACATCTCTCGTTCTTCTCTCCTCACACTCAACGAGTTTGGAGGCGAGCCGGACGCAGGTAACTTTCTCTCTCTATAATTTCCCAGACTTTTGCTCCGATCGGGTCGCTCTTTGCTCTGATCTGTTGTTTGTCTAATGTGTGGACGGAACTTTGGTCTTTAGACTGTTTTCGTTCCAGTAATTTAGCTGCCAAATGTGGTTTATATCGATCGTTTCAGATCTCTATATTTGCCTTTTGTTTCTGTAGATCTGTGAATTTTTTCTTCGTTTCATTTCTCTATTCTGTATAGAATTTTCATTTCTGTATTCTTGAGCAGGTTTGTTCGATACACACTTCTCTTTTGGATCTGATATGAACTTGTTGATAGGTTGATTTTTGTGAATTATTATAGATTTTAATCTGTATTTTGATTATGCATCTTAAGTTTTTGATTTACCTTCATAGATCTGGTTATAATCTGGTTATAATCGTATCTCCAAACTTTTGCGTTGACGGTATCATTTTCTGTTTTTCAGATCTGTTTGTTTATTTATATATATTGTGCTTTATATGCTCATTTCCCTCAGGGAAGGAAATACATGTTTTTTAGGCAGGATTTTAGAAACTTTCGCTTGGACGGACTAGTATGAAATGATATTTAAAAATGTAATTATAAATTATAGTAATATATTTTCTTTTGCAGTACGTATGTTATTATATACTTTTATTAGAAAGAAAAAGTACGAGTAGATTATCTATCTATATGTCAAAATTATTTCGCAAACGGTAAGTAAAGTAGGGGATACAAGGGGGCTTGCTTGGTTTGGTTTTTTGAGAACCGATTCTGAAAACTGAGTTGAAAAAGGACTTTTTTTTGGGAGAACTGTCTTTTATTTTTTTCGAAACTATTTTCTAAGGTTTTAGAAAATTTAACCAAGCAGGCCCCTTGATTACCTTTCCCTCCATGTGTGGGATTTAGAAAGAAAATGAGAAGAGCCAAACCGGGGTTATAAAAGGCTTTGAAGGAGCATGTTACACTGTATTGTATTTTCAAGTTCACCATTCACATAGAAGGCAATTATTCAATACTTTTTGAAAACTTTTGCATAACTCTCTGCCCATGCATGTTTTGAAAATGCACAATAGTACTCCTGGTTCCTTCAATTTTCGTCACATTGTCCTTTTTCTTTTTTCAGAAAACTTTCTACATATGTGGTTTTATTTTCTTGTGAAATCAAAATTTTAGGTAAAAACATTTAATTTTGACATGCCTTTTGAAGTAAGAGTATTTGTGTTGAGTTTGTTTCTTGTTGCTGCTTTTTATGTTAAACAAAATGGTGTAAACTTTGGGTTGGCATATAATTTATATTGCTAGTTCTGGGTGGTACATGAGAAACGGATGGTCGAGAGAGCATCAAAAGCTGTTTTGGGTGTGGCAGGGTTAAGTGTGTTATTGTTACTAGCCGCAAAAAATTTACGCTCATGCAATGACTACATAGTGCATGTTTATGCGCTAGTGAATCATGATTAGGACAGCTCATCATAATTTTGAATATTCTATATTAGTCATGTTCCTTGTAATTTCTTCTACTTGTGTAGTTATATATTGTCCCTCAATTTAAAGTATTCTTATATGATCTGTTGTGATTTAATATTTCTTTAGTTCTTGCAATAAGTACTTGTTGTGTCAAAGAGCTTAAAGTCCCAATTAGTTAAGTTCCAGAAAACTGCTTCGAGTTTTCAAACTGATTTCTGCTTGCCTCACAAATCTTGAAATCCAATTACTTAAATTTGAAAGCGAATTTGCTTCAATATAAGCTTTCAGGATCATAACTTTTTTCCCCTTGCCCTGCAGGGGTTTCCATTTGGAAGACATAATGGCTGACAATCATCAGCACCCAACCATTGTTCAGAAGTTAGGTAGCCAGCTGCACATGGGTTCTAGCCTTTCTCAAGATGCTCAGATGCGATATGGGAGCTTCCAAAGGCCTGCAGTGCACCAGAGACGTTTTTCATATGGGAATTATTCTAATGCAGCTTTGCAGTATCCCATGACTCAGACATGCCGTGATCTGTCATTTGTTACTGCAAATGCTTCACCTGTGTTTGTCCAAGCTCCCGCAGAGAAAGGATTTGCAGGCTTTGCTATTGATTTTCTTATGGGCGGAGTGTCAGCTGCTGTATCCAAAACTGCTGCTGCTCCCATCGAACGTGTGAAGCTTCTTATCCAAAATCAAGATGAGATGCTTAAGACTGGTCGTCTTTCTGAACCCTACAAGGGAATTGGAGAGTGTTTCGGACGAACAATTAAAGAAGAAGGGTTTGGGTCATTGTGGAGGGGGAACACTGCTAATGTTATCCGTTACTTCCCCACTCAGGTAAATTATTCTCCCAGCTTTCCAGGATCTCATCATAACACAAATATGTACAAACTACAAACGATGGGCACATGAATGTATGGACATGTTTTCTGTCTTTTATCCCTTGTGTTATATGCTCATTAGTGATTGAATTTTTGTGCAGGCCTTGAACTTTGCATTCAAGGACTACTTTAAGAGGCTGTTCAATTTCAAGAAAGACCGCGATGGCTACTGGAAATGGTTTGCTGGTAACTTGGCATCTGGTGGTGCTGCTGGTGCTTCTTCCTTACTTTTCGTATATTCCTTGGATTATGCTCGTACTCGTCTGGCAAATGATGCCAAGGCTGCAAAGAAGGGAGGAGAGAGGCAGTTCAATGGCTTGGTTGACGTCTATAGGAAGACTCTCAAGTCGGATGGTGTTGCTGGTCTTTACCGTGGGTTCAACATTTCATGTGTCGGCATCATTGTCTACCGTGGTTTGTACTTCGGAATGTACGACTCTCTGAAGCCAGTAATCTTGACTGGAAAATTGCAGGTTTGTAGATTGTTTTATGGGTTTTCTTTGATTTTATTTTTTGGTATTACCTGGTTAGAGAATTTGGAATGTTGTTAGTGCTCCTTACTGGGATTCATTTCATTGTGCTTTTGGAAAAGGTCTTTGCTTTATTAAGTAGCAATAGGTGAATTTTTTTCTGGCCTCACCTTTTTAGATTCCAACTCTGTCGGTCACTAGTTATAAAACCTCCCCTCTGATATTTTTTCTCTAAAGTGCCACACTAGTCATAGAACCACATCCCTATTCTCTCGTGCATATAGTTATAAAACCTCCCCTCTGATATTTTTCTCTAAAGTGCCACACTAGTCATAGAACCACAACCCTATTCTCTCGTGCATATAGTTATAAAACCTCCCCTCTGATATTTTTCTCTAAAGTGCCACACTAGTCATAGAACCACATCCCTATTCTCTCGTGCATATAATTATAAAAGCTCCCCTCTGATATTTTTCTCTAAAGTGTCACACTAGTCATAGAACCATATCCCTATTCTCTCTCGCATTTGTTGTGTCATATTCTCGAAAATTGGTGATCTGTTCATTTTATTGAAACAGTGTTATCTGGCTTTGTTGAGTTGAGTGGTGAAAATGTTGTGGTATGCTCTGGTGGTTCCCTTATATGTGGATGTTTTTGGATGATTTCAGGATAGTTTCTTCGCTAGCTTTGCTCTCGGTTGGGTCATCACAAATGGTGCTGGCCTTGCCTCCTATCCAATTGATACTGTCCGTAGAAGAATGATGATGACATCTGGTGAAGCTGTCAAATACAAGAGTTCACTCGATGCATTCTCTCAAATCCTCAAGAACGAGGGTGCCAAATCTTTGTTCAAGGGTGCTGGTGCTAACATCCTCCGAGCAGTTGCTGGTGCTGGTGTGCTAGCCGGTTATGACAAGCTTCAGGTCATTGTTTTCGGAAAGAAGTACGGATCTGGTGGGGGCTAATTGAGACCATGGAGAGACTACTCTACTCAGCACTCACCCAATTTTCCCTTAGATGTTGATGAAAATTATTTTGGATTTTCCATATTAGAGTTGATTTAGCACAATATCTACTCATTTGAATAACTGAGTTTTAGAGGGAGTTCATCTCCCCAACATTATTTCCTTCCTCAGAAGATTTTTCATATCTACAAACATCATTGAAAAGGTACAGTTGTGTACCTTGTACCTTAATATTTTTGGCAATCATAATTGTTTTTTTTCTAAATATTTAGACTCATTTTGTTGGTTATCTCTTAATTGCTTACACATATGTGTGTGTGTGTGTGTAAATATATATTTAGGTGTTTACAAAAGTGATACTTTCTGTGAAAAACTGGTGAACAGTTTAAGTTGATTGACTTTGTTTTTTTTTTATCATTTTGAATCTTAGAATCTATGGTTCAATACATAGATGTTTCATCTTCTGCTAGTCTCAATTGTCTTGAAAGTTATGACAAATTGGATTTCTGATCTGAATTGCATGTTTGTTATATTTGGGAGCATCAAATCTGGTGCCGTCGCATATCGGTTCTATTTTTATGTGGTGATTCATAACTTTTCTAGGGCAGCTCAAGTAATTATATTTGCATTTGCCTTAAGTTACTGTAGAAATAAATATTTATATAGTAGAAGGTTGTAATGCTGTTATGACGTGTGAAATGAAGAGGTTACAAGCTGATAGAGAAAACTTAGAAAGCAGGCTAGATCTAATCTTTTAGAGTTTGTTCCAAGAGACACAAGTGATACTTTGATGTGGAGTATGACTGATTTGTCAATCAGACAAGGAATCAAAAATTTTTTTTTTCTTCAGTTAAACTTTTGGTTTCACTATCTCTTGACTTTCAAATCTTAATATCATGGTTGCGACTTGTGAGCAACTTGTCATTAATTGGCTGCATTGAGTCTCTTTCTGGTTTCTCTGCGCGCGCGCGCGCATATTGTGTTTATAGATGTATACATAGATCATGGTTTGCGATAGCAGTTTTGGGCGAACCATATAGGGTCCATGATATAGATTCAACAACTTTCACTAATTGTTCACATATATTTTTGGATAAATTTTACTTGCCTCCCCTAAAGTTTGTCAATATTTCACGGAGAATCTTTTTATGTTTTATAATTTTACTTACCTTCTCTGTTAGTGCCTTTTTTACTATTTTGCCTATGAAATGGTTGCTGTCATTTCAGGCATTAACAAGGTAAAATGGTCAGGCAGGGAGGAATTTGTTACATTAATCATAATCTCATGGATTATGAAACGTAAAGAGAGTCTATGTGAAATATTGACAAACTTTAGGGAGATAAGTTAAATTCCTATATTTTTATTTGTTAAAGTATTGTTGGACAATTGGCTTAGGCAGAAACCTTTTTCTCTGGCTAAAACTTTTTCTCTCGCCTCTCTCTACCCTCAACCGCCCCCTTCGTTCTTCTCCCTCTGTTTGCTCCCCACCCCCTCCCATGGGGTAGGGAGCTGTCGATCCTCGCCTCCCACCGCTTAATAAACTCGGCGTGTTATACTTAATTCGCTCGATGGGTGAGTTTTTACGCCGTTTTGTTGTTTTTTTGTTAGATCTGCTCTGTTGGGCTTGTTTCTGACTTGACAGGGTAGATTTGCTTTTTGTCTCTGGTTAGATCTTCGATCTATGTCGGGTTTTGTAGTCCCGCCTTTGTGTGGGTTTTGTGGTCCCCGCCTCTGTGTGGGTTTTGTTGTCCTCGCCTCTTGTGCGGGGTTTAGGGGTTCTTCCCCGGCCCACCTTGTAGATGCAGTTTTGGAGCGGTTGCCTTACTGATGGTTTAACCTTTGGGTCACTCTCATTGGTGCTTTCCTCCCTGGGTGGTTTCCGCTGTTGTGTTTCTCAACAAATCTGGAGCTTGATCTTCAGTTTATCTTCTGTGCTTTATGATTTGTTTGTCTTTGTATGGCCATTTATGGAGATTTTTGTAGATGCTGTATGGCTTCTTTTCTTAGTGCCAAAAACAGAGAGAGAGAGAGAGAGAGAGAGAGAGAGAGAGAGAATGAATGGAGGTTCAATACTCTCTTTCTACGGGTGATTCATCCAACCAGACCGATTTAAGTGTAGTGTGAGTCATTTCGGTACTCTTTAGAAGCCTTTTAAAGTCGATCCCATTCACATTTGTAATGAACATCTTCAAGTCTTCATACTTGAGTTCTATCTCACTCGCGAGTGTAGACTGATTTTGGGCCTGAACCAAGTGACTAATCTCAATTGAACTCCAAAATTTTCTTTGTTTGAATTTAGGTTTCTAGATTTTGGGCCTTAACCAAGTGACTAATCTCAATTGAACTCAATTTTCTTTCTTTGAATTTAGGTTTCTAGAATGAAATGTATAAGCATATAAAGAGATGCAGGAATATATATATATATATTTCCTAGCAAACTAGGAGGAGGGGAGACTCGAACACGGACACATCCACTTGGGGAGTTGGACGCTTTACCAACTATGTCACTAGATTATGCCAAGATTCTTGAATTAAAAGAGGAATTCTATTGATAATGCATTCAAGAGTACAAACAAAAAATGGGTTAATTACACTGATCTCTTATAATATTTATACGCATAAGCGTTTATTACTTTGATTGAGATTTGGCGTGTTCTTTTTGTCTGACGTATTAAACAAATTTTATAAAATGACAATTTTAATATTCTTTTATAAAAAAGTACGAAGGCGTTATTGATTTTTCACACTTAAAAGAAAATAAGTTTAGGATAATTTAAAGTCAAAGTAGGAAATCGGTGTAATATACCCACTAAAATTGTTTTGACTAGTTGGACGAATTTAGGTTATTGGATTGGAAACTAAGGAGCCAATGCTAAGTTTATATGAAAGATAAAGACATGATGTGGAAGGTGATGGGACCTCTTTCATGAATGTCACCCCTCACATTTAAAGGCAAATCCAAAAAATTGAATGAAGTTCAAAGCGGTTGACAATAGCTTCAATGGCGCTTTCCAGAGTCAATGATGTCCCATGCCTTAACTTTTCTAGGAAATTTAAGAGTTTTTGGATGCTCCATTGTATATTTAACCCCCCATATATGACCATACTTTACCAAAAATCTCAGCTAATTCATTTATAGAAATCACACCTTTCTTCTCTAGTCATGATCAAAACTATGACCAATTTACCCTTATTCGAATTATGTAAAATCATCTTCTTGACCTATTTTAAATTAATTTTTTTTTAATTTTACTTCAAAACACAATAAATGTTAGAACTTTTTATCTTTTCAATCCACTTCATTGTACCAAGTTCTACAATGCATGTCTTCAAAGATTGCATTTCTATTAATCTATGTAGCAATTGATGAGTTAGACATGTGCTTTCTAATTTTATTGTCTGATTAACCTAAAAATTCCAAATCCCAATTTGAATTACTATGTTATTACCAAATTTGAATAAATTGCAGATAAAACCCAAACGATTTACAAATAGTTTTTCAAATTACCAGATGATCATTATGAATTTATGACATTTTGTAAATTTAATTTATTTTGTTATGCATCTTATTATTGGCAATGATGGTTTAAATTTGCTCTCCACTATTCTAAATGCTGTACCAAATAACTATTGAATTTCAAATGATTACATTGCTAAATAATTCTCAATTAAACCACTAACACATTTAATTTTGTGATATTTCATCTATTTTTAGTCATGATTCGTAGTTGGATATTGCTTGCGGTGTAATGAATCGGTGAATATCGGTGTAAATTGGCTAAATTGATTGATTCATAAAAATGCATAATGATATCGTACCCTTGAAAAAAAGTTACGAACCGATTGATACAACAAATCATATTTTTAATATAAAATTGAATGAATCAGATTCGTATAATAATATTGCGGAAATTATTTGTCAATAAAAAAAGAAAGGTATTTCTCAAATACCACATTGATTACACAAAGACGCATCATTTTCTTATGAATTAAGGAGTGCCCAAACATCATTATAGATGGATGGTAGGAAGTTGATGATAATTGGAGTGAGACATTGGCTGTAAAACTTGGCGCTTTGTGGACCGACAAAAGGAATAGAGAATATAATAAGTTATTCATCCTTCCCTTGCACGCCAGGTTTTGTTCATTCTCTACTTCGAATCATCACTCTCTCTCCCTCTCTCTCTCTCACACACACACAAAATGCTTAAGAAGCTTTTGGCATCAAGGATAGTGCTTGCATGACACACGATGGTGGAATTCTCTCTCACATGCTTCATACTTGAGTCCAACAAATATATACACACACGCATATATAGATATATATAAATTTCGTATCGTATTATGCGTATGCGCTGATTCCGTTACACTACAACAACGACTAATCAATGTTTAAAAAGATTGCTAATACTTGCTCTAGTAGTTGAGATTACATGTTGATAAAAACTGTTCCCTCGGTCCCATGTGTGTAATTTTTAATATTATTTATTTATTATAGTGGTAGGGAATAAATTTCTAAATATATCCTTTTATAGTGGATCCACATTCTTATAATACAAAAAGAGTTAATTAGAAATATTAAAAAAAATTGAGACAACAAAAAATAAAAAGGTAGACACTTTTTGTGCAATCGAGAGACTATTAGAATTGATCTAAACTTATCTACTAGGTTGATTTAGCCTCCAATTCTATGGATACTCAAATCAATCCATCCTAAACCCTAGAAAAAAACCTCTTAAAAAAGAAACAACATTAACGATGAAGTCTAGATTCTCTATTGTAGCGAATTTTTTTTACTGTGATGTAATTTTTTAACAAAATTAAATTTATTTTGAACACATTAAATTTTGGTTGGAAATAGGTAAATTTAATGTGAAGGTGTTCTCGAGCCTCATAATAGTTGGATCGATTGTGTGATCTCAATGAATTAATCCTAAAAAAAATTAAAAAATAAAATCTAAAAAATGCCACCCTAATTTCAACAAAAGGCAAGGGACATAATTGTACTTGGTCTATAGGTGGCCCACACAACACTTGATGCAACAAAGTCTACGTGTGGAGGAAAAAGTTAGTATATGGAAGCTTAACCAAACTTCGTTTTTCTTATTCTTGACTAAAGTCAACGTACATCAACTTCCTTTATACCAAAATGAGATGGATTTGGTGACCTCTTTTCAACCATGTTCATCACCCATTTTCTAATAAATCTAACCTATACCGAACAACTCATTCTTGTACTAGCAAGGATTTGGTAACATGATGTG